CCCAGTTCTGGATTGCGTTGAACTGGCATTTTGTATGCCAGCTCGAGTGCCTGAAGGCTAATACATAAGAGTATACCAATACACGCTGTACTTTACACCTACAGCACATACCATCTAGAGAAATCAATTCCATGTGATGACGGGCCTATGTTGGCTTCAAATGGCTAAGCGCTGAAATCGAAAAGGATTTTCATTAGATTCGAGCATCTGGAAGAATTCGTGTGGGTCCTGTGACAAAATGGGCTGAGAATCATTTGTTACAGAGAATTAGAGTCGGAAAGGTAAGAAATATACTTAGAATATATTGACTAGATTTGTCAATATTTTGGTAGATTCTCTAATTGATTGCTCAAGTAGACCTTAAGACTTTGGACACATCTGCTTAAAGCCAACCTAATCGATCTATTTATAAATATTTACCCATCTTTCAAGGCTCTCTAATGAAGGCGTTCAATTTGATAGGGAAAAGATATAGATGAAGCTAGATGGGCTGACATACATATAAATGGATGGGCCGGATGAAAGGACACTTAAATAAGTCTAGATAAAGATGGATTAGAATTTTAATGCCGTTACCTGATGTTGAGACGTCTCGGAAAGAGCAATAGAGTTCAGTTTCCATCTTCGTGAAGGTTAGCGACTCACTGGGCAGCTCTCTCTTTCTGCAGCAAGTACGTCATGGCTTATAGGGGGTGCTTATCACTCGTATGCATGCTCATTGTGGTTCAGACTCATCGAAGATGGCAAACCTAGACGATTGCCAGACTCGATTTGTTATGGGGCTGTGAATCAGAGATAATCGTAGCAGCGACGTCTCAAACTCATTAACTGAAAGCTGTGCTCAGAGCTATGTGTGTGTGTGTGTGTATGTGTGTGTGTTGGTGTTGGTCTTTGTTGAAGCACGTAGCAGCATGTCATGAGAATCGCTGAGAAAGGTGCCGTTCGCTTATGAGCGCAGCATATCTGATCAACATAGCGGCACGAACTGTTTCCCCAATGCACTTTGACTGCAGATGACGTAATTGTCGGCAATTGTTGATTACGGCACTTCAAGCAGTTCAACAAATTTCATTGAGCAATAAAAATCACAGTTAAGAAATTCACTGCAAGAGCAATCGATTCAATTCCATAGATTTATGGCACTCGCCAGCCTCCTCACAGATAGGTAGATGAATGAACGACAAGATGGACGTACAGATGGAATGAAAGACAGATAGATGGACGAGTGAACAGGATGGTGCCAGGTAGACTTACGAAAGGACAGATAGACAGAAGAATGGACGGAGAGACTAACGCATGAACGGACAAGCAGATACTAAAACGGACGGACAGGCGAATGGAAAGACTGAAGAGGGCATAGAGGAATGCAAGGACTGACGGATGGGAAGATAGCTAGACGCAGAGACGAAGACTCGGACAGCCAGGCGAACAGGCAGAGAGTGAGCTATACATCCAGATAGACACACGTATAGTCAGACAAAAGGATGGATAGAAGAAAAAAAAAGACGGAAGAGCACACGGACGCATCCATATATTCATCCCTCTGGATAGACGGATGAACAGACAGACGGAAAAGCATTCACTCGGATGGACATGCTTAGATCTTGTCTAATTTGTCCTACTGATCTAAAATCAAGCCAATCGATAGAAAGAAAGTGAAAAGTCGTTATTCGATTCAATATTCAAAGCGAACCGGAAATAAGTCGTTGCTTTACATATAACAACTGGAATTGAGATCTAATCGAATTACTCATACGTTCACTTTTATTTGGAATTGTAGCACAAAGTAGTTCTTAGATTGGCAACAAATTTGATAGAAATTGTAAATAATATATGTATATGGCGTATGCATAGCTAACAACCGATAAGCCCTAAAGGCCCGTGGAGACACGTGCAAGACTCTAGCTAGAATAATCTGGTTGAATGTGCAAGTGCCCAAGTTGCTTTCCCTATCAAATCCATTACAAATGGGTGTGTTTATAGATGTATATAGCGATTAGGCTCATTATACATATATAAGAACGAAAATGATCTAAAATTGATAATATAATTGTGGGAAAAATTGCATAGTTAGAGAGACAGAGAGATCGAGAGCCACAGAGTCAGCGAATAAGAGAGATCGAGAGCCAGAGAGTCAGCGAATAAGAGAGACACAGAGTCATTGAGTCATAGAGTGATAGAGTCAGAGAGTCATAGAGTCATAGATTCGTAGAGTCATAGAGTCGTAGAGTCATAGAGTCATGGAGTCATGGAGTCATAGAGTCATAGCATCATAGAGTCACAGAGTCATAGAGTCATAGAGTCATAGAGTCATAGAGTCATAGAGTGATAGAGTCAGAGAGTCATAGAGTCATAGAGTAAGAGAGTCAAGGAGCCATAGAGTCATAGATTCGTAGAGTCATAGAGTCGTAGAGTCGTAGAGTGATAGAGTCGTAGAGTCGTAGAGCCATAAAGTCATAGAGTCATAGAGTCATGGAGTCATGGAGTCATAGAGTCATAGCATCATAGAGTCACAGAGTCATAGAATCATAGAGTGATAGAGTCATAGGATCATAGAGTCATAGAGTCATAGAATCATAGAGTCATAGAGTCAGAGAGTCAAAGAGCCATAGAGTCATAGAGTCATAGAGTCATAGAGTCATAGAGTCATAGAGTAAGAGAGTCAAGGAGCCATAGAGTCATAGAGTCGTAGAGTGGTAGAGTCGTAGAGTCGTAGAGTCGTAGAGTCATAGAGTCATAGAGTCATAGAGTCATAGAGTCATAGAGTCATAGGGTCATAGAGTCAAAGAATCGTAGAGTCATAGAACCGTAGAGTTATAGAGTCGTAGAGTCATAGAGTATAGTAGGTATATGCCTCTTGGTGCAAGTTTTCATTTCAGTTCGGTTAGTTCTTGTCGTGAGGGCTGTCTGGGGGGACAGTGGGGGTAGTAGCTCTTATATATATGCACTTATATGCATTGCGTCGCAGTGGCCGCCACTTGACGATTTATTAGATAGCTTAATTGGCAAATATTGTGATTATGGCTCGAGAGTTCAGTTCAGAACTATACTATATACACTATATAGATGGCTCTGTGTATGTCTGTCTGTGTGATGTGCCTTAGACTTAGCGCACATTGATTGGCCGATTGCAGATGTCGACGCAAAGTTAATATCGAGCCAACTTTGATAAGCGCCGTGGCGAAAGTCGACTATCGGACTTATATAGAGAGGCCACCTGGCCCGGCCACAGTTTTCCAAGCGACACGGCCCAGGGCAGCAGACAGGCACAGAGCGCTCGCTGAAAGCGGATAGACAGGAGACTGAGTGGATAGACAGGAGGACTACTTTGATCGAGAGAGAGAGAGTGGCACAGGGAGCGCAGCTCGTTTCGATTCACAGTTTCGCAGGAGTTTCGCCGAGTCTCAAGCGCACAGCATGAAGCTGGAAGGCGAGAAGCGCACCAGCGAACCGCCCAAATATCTCAACGAGGACTTCTTCAAGGCCGCCCTCGAGGATGGGCTGCGCGACATGCGCGTCGACATCAAGAAGATCATATTCGCCGAATCGAACAGCGGCGGCGGTGAGAACTATTGCAGTAAGATCTATCGGGCCCGGGCTCTGTACCGCAGCAGCAAACGTCAGCTGGACGAGGAGCTGGCCCTGATTGTGAAAAGCATTGCCATCACGCCGGCCACACAATTTCTCGAGGAGCTGGCCGTCTATCTGCGCGAGAAGATCTTCTACTTCGATGTGCTCGGCAAGCTGGAGGTGCTGATCGGTGATGGGTCCAAGTTTGGGGCCAAGTGCTTCTATACGACGCGCGAGCCCATCCAGACGATCGTCTTCGATGATCTCACACAGTACGGCTACAAGCTGGCCAATCGCCAGAGCGGCCTCAACGAGGAGCACTGTGTGGTCATACTGCAGAAGCTGGGCAAATTCCATGCCAGCTCGATGGTGCTGGTCGAGAAGGTAAGCCCACAGCCGAAACCAGATAATCAATGAGATTCATCTGAATTTCTCTTCTCTCTCTCTCTCTCTCCCATTCAGGAGCCCAGCGTGCGGGAGCATTTCAGCAGCGGCATGCTGGACGAGAACTACATACGCACCAATGAGCGCTTCATCAGCTTCATGACCCTCCAGCTGCGCACGCTGGCCAATGTGGTGGCCAAGTGGGCTGGCTACGAGCAGCTGGCCGAGAAGCTGCATCGCCACTGCGACAATATCAAGGAGAATCTGGTGTTGACCGGCCGAGCGGTGCCGGGCGAGATCACCGTGCTGAACCATGGCGATCTCTGGGTGAACAACTTCATGTACAAGTACCACGATGAGCTGCCCACAAAGCCCATCGATGCCATCTTTGTGAGTTGTTGTGCCGGAAAGCAGCTGCGTGTGTTTCCACAAATCCTTACGAGCTCGAACTTCTTCTTCTAGGTGGACTTTCAGAACAGTTTCTTTGGCAGTCCCGGCTGCGACATCAATTTCTTTCTCAACAGCAGCGTTCAGCTGGACGTGCTGATGCATAGGCGCGAGTTCCTCATCCAGACGTACTATGCCTCGCTGCGCGAGAGCCTGGAGCGTATGCATTCCGAGTTTGTGCCGAGCTATGCGGACATACAGCACGAGATCCATGCCAGGGAGCTGTACGGCTTCTTCTCGTCCTATGCCTTCCTGCCGATGGTGACCATGCGAAAGGAGGACTCCTATGACATCAGCATCGAGGCCCTCACCGACCAGGACTTTGCCAAGAAGAAGGTCCAGCTGATGTTCTCCTCAAATCCACGCACTACCGACACCCTGCGCTATGCACTGCGGCGCTTCGATGAGCTGGGCATCTTTGACTGATGCGAATCCCAATGCGAATGCTTAGTTTATATTTATAACTTGCAGCTGGTTATCTATCTATATTCATTGTTCTTTTTTTTTACTATCATACGGTTAAGATATATGTGAATATTCTTTTTTTATTCTTTAAAAAAAAAAAATAAATTTTTTTTTGGATATTTAATCAAAGATTTATATGGATAATAAATAGAGTATATGGAAATGCTTATTAGCTAAAACTCCCAGGTGGAGAGCCATTTGAGCTTGTGCATCGTTGAGTTGGGCTCGTTGGCCAGGGGTCCGCTCATGCCGTACGCCAGCGGGGAGAAGAGCACGAAGCTGTAGACGAGTGCCGAGAGGAGCGAGCCGAGCAGCGCATGCTGCAGCCAACGGGGCAGCGATCGTATTATATAGTTGAACATAATGCCTGAGGAAGATGAAGAAGAAGAAGGTGATGACCGACTGGCGAATACCCTGCATATGTGTATGATAATCTAAAATCATAGCTAAAGAGTAGTTGGTTTGTTGATCACTGACAGATTGAGGAAAATAAGAAGGTATATGACTTGAAAATACCCTATACTTATCTGAAACATAACTGTAGACAAGCATGATACCTGATTAGGCAGTGATAGGGAGTAATATGTGGAAGAAGTAGATGAATGTCTCCTACTAGTGAACACCCTACACTCAGCTGAAATACAGTGCTTGAAGAAGGAGATGGGAAGGAGATGAAGAAGGGATGAAGAAGGGATGAATAATTGGATGAATAATTGGATGAATGTGTCTGATCTGCTAATACCCTATACTGATCTGAAACATAACTGTAGACAAGAATAATATGAAGTAGATGAATGTCTGCGACTAGTGAGCACCCTATATTCAGCTTAGATACTGTGCTTGTAGAAGGAGATGGGAAGGAAATGAAGAAGGGATGAAGAATTGGATGTATAATTTGATAATACCCTATACTGATCTGAAACATGGCTGTAGTTGCACATAATAGCTGTAGAGGGTGATAAGAAAATGAAAATTAAGAATACTTTAAGATGAAGCACAAGATGAAGGTGAATGTCACCGATTAGCGAATACCCTATACCAAGCTGTTCTAGTTGAATATACTGTGTGTAGAAGTTGTGATTGGAAAAGCAGAAGTAGTAGCTGAAGAAGAAGACGTATATATCTGATTGCCCAATACCCTACACTAATCGGAAACTTAGCTCTAATCGAATCCACTGCCTGAAGAAAGAGGAGAATAGATGAAGTCATTGAATGACCCACACCTGGGAATATCCTATACTAAAGTGAGTGAGCCAGGTCTGTGGATAGACAAGATCTCACATTGAATACGTTGAAAGTCTACGACTATATATACCCTGTACGTACTTTCAACATGATAGTTCAATGGACTGACAGCTAGACTATTTACTATAGAGAGCAATTGGGTATATTGACATGATTTAGATCATTGAATGCAATACAGTCGACTAGCAGATACCCTATATACATCATAAATATAACTGAGTTTTGGTATAGATACATAACCTATATCAATATATGTATATGTATGTATATATATACCCAAGTAAGCACTACCTAAGGAGACCTTATTGATGTTACTATCGACCACTAGCGATGGTCTACAAATTCACTATCGATTGGCACCCACTATCGATAGATCTCTAGCGCTACTAAGGAAGTCTAAGAATTCTTTAGTAAGGACATATGCATATATACATATATATATCTTTATCACCTTATACTATAACTTCCAGCACTTACCGGTGAGCAGCGAATTGAATATCAGTGCGGGAAAGTAGTGATGGAAGTAGAGCACTCGGCCCATGGCCCAGAAGGGCAGGTAGTGCAATAGCCAGCCAATGAACAGCCAGGCCGCTGCCTGCAGTGACATGCGCTGCGGGCTCTGCTCGGAGAGCACGGCGACGGCAGCTGGCCGCGGCAGACTCTCCGCCGGACAGCAGCCGCACAGCTCCTGCGTGGCGCTCTGCTCGACTGCAGCGGCCTGGCGGGCGGCCAAGCCGGCGCGGCGCTGCTGCAGAATGGCATTGCACAGAAAGATGCTGATGAAGAGCAGCAGAAAGACGAGGTTGCTCCACCAGATGAACGGATTGCCCAGCAGGTATATGCGATAGCTGCTGCCCGAGAAGAATTGACCCTGCAAGAGAGAGAGAGAGAGAGAGGGAGAGATATGCGAGTAATTAGTTACCATTGCCTACTTATGTGGGGGGTAATCGGATCTTGCATTCACTTACCCGATAGTTGATGGGCCATTGCCAAGGTCGACTGGTGACCTCGCCCTCCTTGGGCTTGAGGCCGGCGTTGCCCTGCAGCATGACCGCATGCGATTCAAGGAAGCGCGCAAAGAAGCCCGGCGCATAGATGCTGAAGCTCACGCTGGGCACTAGAGGAGTTACAGAGAGAGAGAGAGAGAGAGGGAGAGAGGGAGAACTAATAGAGAGAGAGAGAGATAGTGCGCATCTCTGCTTACACAGCTTATGCTGATTATCCTCCACATTCCACTGGGCATTCTTGTCGCGTATGTTGAGATTGCAGGAGACCTCCTGCTGCTCGAAGCCCCACTTGGGCAGCTGCTTGCCGCTGGAGGTGAGCACACAGCTCTGCAGATAGTGAACGAACATGAGCCGTGAGGTCACCGTGTGTACGGTGTCATTCGCCTTGCCGCCCACAATCAGCACGCGCCACACATCGTTGGCATCGCCCACTCCAAGCTGCGTAACGAAATGGCAAATGGAATTCATATTGAATCGAAATCGAATTCGAATTCGAATTCAAACTTGAACTCACCTCGCCATAGCCGGTCACTTGCAGGTGCTTCTTGGTCATGGGCGCCGGCTCGCTGTGCGAGTGGAGATTGCGCTTGGTCACCAGGTGCTCCAGGCGCAGGAGGTCGCCGTGGCGCAGCAGCCGCAGCTGGCCCTTGGGCACGGCCTGCTGGTTATAGGGCTTGATCAGCCAGATGTTGTTGTCGTCCTTGTGCGTGTACGTGGTGATCTGGGCCGAAGAGAAGCTTCAATTAGAGCCGAGCCGTCGCGTGCCGCCCACCTGGATTCGCTCACCTGCTGCTGGCGTGCGCCGCTGCCCTTGGGATAGAGATGCGAGTGGGAGTGCAGGTAGCCGCCGCCCGTCTTGTGGTTCTTGATGGTCACCAGCGCGCCGTAGGCCACGTCGCGCGGCATGCTCGCATTGTACAGCGAGTTGCCGATGAGCCGCGACTGAAAGGCCGAGCTGTAGAAGCCGTCGCCGTTGCCGCTGCGATTGAGCACGCTCAGATGGATGTAGAAGAAGATCGTGTAGAGCAGCACCGGCCAGAGGATGAGCGCAATGGCGCGGCACGCCAACTGCTTCACCGTCTCCACAATGGGCTGCTCCAGGTCGCCCAGTATCAGCCAGAGCTCGCTGGCCGTGTGCAGGCCCACCAGCAGCACCACGAACAGGCCCACGAACTTCACGCTTATCGTGCAGGAGAGCATCGTGCCGGTGAACAGCAGCCAGAGCCACCAGCGGCGCGTGTACGAGCCACCGGCGGCGGTGCACTTCGATATCTTGACCATGCCCCACACCGAGCCCATCATGAAGAACAGCAGGATCGGATCCAGCAGGATATACTGATTGAGGGTCAGCAGGCCCACATCTGCAACGAGACAACCTGCGCTCAGCTAGCGATTCCCATGGAGTGGCCCCCAAGGCTTACCGAAGATCAGGTACGCTGCCGACAGCAGCGCCGCCTCGTGCGAGCGCGTCAGATCGTAGACGGTGTCGAAGCCCATCGGCATGATGAGTGCGCCCAGTGTGGTGCAGAACTGCAAGGCAAGAGAGCAGAGCTGAAGATTAGTCTAGTCCAGAGAACTGGCTCTGATTCCGGATGCTCACATAGCGCATGCCCTGATAACGCGTCCCGTTGTACTTGTCGCCGGGCTTCTCGAACGGGAAGGTGCCATTGTAGCCGGTCAAATAGCCAGAGAGGCCGATTAACATCTGGAAGTAGAGAGAGAGAGAGAGAGAGTGAGAGGGAATGAGAGAGAGTGAGAAGTGTCTAAGTCAAAAGGAAGGAAATAAAATGAGTAAGGGAGAAACAGAGAGATACAGGGACAGAGATAGATATGGAGATGGAGACTGTGAGAGATGTATGTATGTATATATATATAGAGAGAGAGAGGAACACTGCGAGAAAAGCATCGGGATATATAGATAGATAGATAGTTAGAGAGAGAGAGAGAGAGAGAGAGAGAGAGAGAGAGAGAGAGAGAGAGAGA